TCCTTCCCAGGACTTCTGGGGATATAAGACACGCCAGTCGCCCGGAAAAAAAGCCACCTCGATGGGAGTCTGCAGGTCGTTCGTGACGGAAGCCGTGGACATGGCGGCCATGACGGGGTCGCTCCAAAAAACCTCGCGTTTGCGAGGGGAGCTCGGGCCGGCAACCTGGAAAAGGAAGCATATACATGTAAGCATATATGCAAATAAACAAATGCAATATGTATATATATATATATATATATATATATATAGGTATACACACATACATTTACAAATACATCTACATCTCATCTACATCTTTACAACAGTATATATATATATATATATACACGTATACATACATATATATATATATATGTATATGTATATAGATATGCAAAAATGTATAATATGTGTGTACATGTATAAAAATACACAGGCACACACGGCAGACTACGCGAGAAGGATTGCCGAAAAGCTCAAGCACCCCTAAAGTTGAACTTGCCTGCCCGATGCACGAAGGAGGGACACCGGAAAACAAGGATCATCTACCAGCCGAACCCTGCCTTTGAGTCACAGGCCTCCGGCTCCCTCCGTCTGGAAGCGAAATCGGACAGTGCTCGGAGAACCCTCTCATTGTCTAGGGGTTCAGGTTGAAGGTTTTGAGTTTAAGGTTATGGGCATAAGCTTTAGGGCCTGGAGACTACAATGCTGCAGGAACCCGGTCATTCTCATGCATCTCTTGTTCGCAGATTCGTCTGCGCTGGTAGTAGCTCGGCTTGCGCCATCTTCTTAAAACTCGAAGACGGCGCCAGGGTGAAAGGCCAGTCAGTGAGAGGCGCGTGGCGGCCGCGGAATACAAATCTCTAGCAAGCCGGATCGACGGGAACACAAACTGAGGGGCAGTCATCCTGTGGGCCACACGCTTGCGGCTTCGCAGAACTTGGCACGCAAAACTCGACTCCTTCTCCGGGGAGCCAGGTGGCGACGTCCACGGCCCAGTACTCGTAGCCCTTCTTTTCCAGCCAGGCCACTTCTGCCTTTTGAGAGTTGCCCAAGCCTTCTGAGGCAGTGAGAAATTCGCGCTCTGTTTCTGGGAGGGAAGCAAGGAACAAACGCCGCACTTCTCGGCTATACTGGGAGGATCCGTCGCCACGCGGCTCCTTCGTCAGATTGCCGAGGCCTGCGTTAAGCGCTTGCTTGAATTGAGCAGACTGCTCGAAGTCTTTTTGCTTGCGGTTCACCTTCTCTCTCCGCAGGTTGTCCTCGCCTGCGGATTCGAAGCTCTCCACTTTGCCCTGGCCCACTTGGCCTTGGAAGAAGTAGACCTCCAGCTGTGCACCGCTTGCGACGGCGACCTCAATGTTTTCCTTCCATTTGGTAAACCACCTGCAGCCCCACGGCTTCTGCTCGCCGTAGAGCGGTGTGCACCAGCAACTGCCGGGCAAGCCCTCAACTTCTCGGATGCTGTCGCACTTGCCATAGTCGTCCGTGCCCTCCGGCAGAAAAACCACCGCTGCACTCACCTGGCCGTCGCGGCTCTGAGAGACCAGTGACTCCCATGCTCCTGCGTACTTCCCCGGCCAACTAGCCACGCAGGGCCGGCCACGCGGCCAAGTGATCACCGAGCCTTCGAACCGGATGGTTCGGTTGCTGACGTTGGTTTCGGCTGCTCGCAGCTCTTGATCTTTGATTTGCTGCTGACCATCGCCCAAGCTCATTGGCTGGGTGTAGCCATCCCAGAAACAAAGGATCCCACAACAGGCCACAGGCCAAATGATAGTGGCGGTCCACCAGTATCCCTGCAGGGCGTGGTGGGCCGTCATGGCGGAGAAGGCGAGAAGAGCCACGAGCCCCACTAGCCGAAGGCCAATGCGCGTGCAGAATCTATACCTTCCAAGTCGAAAATCGGTGTCTTCATCTTTGCCTGGGTTGGCCCCTTAAAGCAGACAACATGCATGATCAACATTCTCTTAATAGCCCAGTAAGAGAAATATGTAAAATCCCAATGCCTAGTTGCCGGCATAAACGCCCAGAAGGCCGATACAGCAGCACAGAGGCACGGTGGCACTGGCCAGCAGCGCGGCTGCAACGGAGCTCTCTGGTGGGATGGCCACGCAAAGAATGATGAGGGCTAATGAGAGTCCTGAAATAATTCCGATTCGTCTAACTACATACCAGGCTCCTTGATTCCGTATCTTGGTGGCGGCCTCCTGGATCATAGCATCCGTCCGCTGCTGGGCTTCTTCCCTTCGCTTTCCTTCACGGGCCAGCTCCCGGGCCTCGGCACGGTCCCGGCCTTTGCACCGCTGGGAAAAAGCTCCGAAGTCCACCGAAGCTTGCAAGGACGTCCCGCCTGATGCCTGGCAGCTGCCCGTCACCTCCGGGCTTTCGCGCAGGCGAACTTGGATCAAAGCCTCCGAAGCTTCCGCAGAGCAGGACATGTTGGGATACACCACCTTCCACTCCTCACTCTCAAACCTGACTTCCATAGGTGCTTGCAAGTCGTTCGTGACGGAAACCGCGGCCATGGCATCGCTCCGAAAGCCTCGCATTCGCGACGGGGAGCTCGGGCCGGCCACCTGCGACAGATGCATTTCCGGAAGGCACAGAGCCTGTGGTGGCAAGCACGCTTCAGAATCCTAAGGAAAGCCTGGAGAAACGATACACCCGAATGCAAGGAGCGCGCAGCCTCCCTAGAAGGCACCCTAAACCCTGGAGAACTCCTGTAGAAACTCTGAGGCTCCAGACGCCTCCGCTTTCTCACCGACCTTTCAACGCCGAGTACTCCGGCGCCTGTCTGCAGCCATCCCCCTTGTTATGCTTAAGGCCTCTGTAGAGCAGGGAAAGCTTGCAGGGTCTTATGATGCATTCGTTAAAAGCCTATGAGGTTTACATAAGTCATTAAAAGCCTATGAGATTTACATAAGTCATTTCACAAGCCCTACTACACAACCGCAAAGCCCTCCATCCAATGCTCTCCAGGTACAGTCATAGTACTAACTAAACCCTAAACCCTAAAC